ATATGGGTGCCGACCATGTCCGTGGCATTCTTCGCTTTGCTAAGGGCAAAGAGCTCGGCGAGCAAGGTCTAAAGTGGCTCAAGGTTCACTTATCCAACGTTTTCGGTTTCGATAAGGCCAGTCTCAACGACAGAGCGGCGTTCACTATGGACAACTTGGCCAATGTCATAGACTCAGCCACCAATCCGCTCACTGGCAACCGCTGGTGGCTCAAGGCCGAGGACCCTTGGCAATGTCTTGCAGCTTGTTTCGAGCTCAAGGCAGCCCTTGAATCTCCGGAACCACAGAAATACGTCTCTAGCCTTCCAGTGCACCAGGACGGCACCTGCAACGGTCTCCAGCACTATGCCGCCCTCGGTGGTGACATTTGGGGTGCTCGCCAAGTCAACCTCGTTCCCGGCGATAAGCCTGCTGACGTCTACTCTGCCGTTGCCAATATTGTCAAAGACCACATTGCCAAGGACGCGGAGGGAGGCAATCCTTTCGCGAAGGCTATGGACGGAAAGATCACGAGAAAGGTGGTCAAGCAGACCGTCATGACCAACGTTTACGGTGTCACATTCGCCGGTGCCAAGAAACAGGTCTGCAAGCAGCTTGATTCGCTGTACCCCAACTTGCCGAAGGAGTGCGGCTTCGAGAATATCGTTACTGCATCTTATGTGGCTACTCTCGTCTTCAAGGCTCTGTCGTCCATGTTCCGCGGTGCTCACGATATTCAGTACTGGCTCGGTGAGATTGGCGGCCGGGTTTGCAGGGCTTTGTCCGCTGAGCAATTGGAGCGGATCGCGAATGATGGAATCGTACCCGTGCTGTCCAAGACCAAGGCTGTCGAGAACAGAACCTCAACTGACGAACTCCTGGCACAATTCCGCGCGACTATTGTCTGGACCACACCGCTACGCATGCCCATTGCCCAGCCGTACCGCAAGAGCGGAACCCGAATCATCAAGACGTCCCTCCAGGATCTCTCCCTCACAATTCCCGAGCGCTCCGATCCCGTACACCGCAAGAAGCAGCTGCAAGCATTCCCTCCCAACTTCATCCACTCTCTCGATGCTACGCACATGCTGCTGTCCGCGCTGGAGTGCTCTGAGCTTGGACTGGACTTTGCTGCTGTTCACGACTCCTTCTGGACCCACGCCGCTGACGTCAACACGATGAACCGTGTTCTTCGTGACGCCTTCGTCAGAATTCACGAGGAGGATGTTGTTGGCCGTCTCGCTGCCGAGTTTGAGGCTCGTTACCGCGGCTCCATTTACATGGCAAAGATCAATGTCGGAACCGACGTCGAGAAGAAGATTGCGGCCCTGAGAAAGAAGAAGAAGGTGTCGTTCAAGGATGAGCTCCTGGCTGAGCACAAAAGACAGACGCTGCTCCGCTCTGGGGACCCCGAGCTGATTGCGGAGGCCAAGGAGATGGTCACACCCGCTAGCATCTTTGAAGAGATGGCGGCTACCGAAGCCCTTGTGAAGGGCGAGGACCTGAAGGCCATCGGCCTCGGTGAGATTTCGGAGGACGCGGACGAGACCGATGTCAAGATGGATTCAGGTGCTGGCGATGAAGCCAACGATGCCGAGACATCTCATGCCATCAATGAAGAGCTCCTCAGCGGAGCCAGCTCCCGATTCGCCACGAAAATGCTGAAGAACATGGAAGAATCGCACTTCAAGCAACATCTTCTCGCTAAGCCCGGGAAGTCGACCTCACGTCCTAAGACGATTCAGGTCTGGCTTCCTTTGACCTTCCCCCCGATTCCCGAGAAGGGCGACTTCGACGTTCAGAGACTCAAGGAGAGTGAATACTTCTTCTCGTGATTGCGTTTCTGGCCTTTGCATCAGAGCGGAAGCGAGGCATGCTCGTCATGCATGAAGAGGACGAATTATTGGGGAGATGTTGATTGCATATTCTATTTGATTGCATCCGCGATGGCGTTGATGATTGTATAAAACGGGGGCGTTTTTCTGATGGTCTCGAGGGCGGCGTTTAAAACACAAAGAAGCAAGACAACTCCCAAGAAGGTGGTTTTGGGCATGTGTACGATGTTTGATAACTAGACAACTGTATAAATATGGTGGATGGGATGACAGAGCTCTTGGCTTCAGTTGTTGATGCCAGGCGTACCTCCCACTACACAAATAAAGATTTGTAAAACAGACATTTGATTCGCTTAGATAAGGGCGAGATCCCAACACGCAGTCGAAATGTCAAACGTAAGCTAGGGCGTAGTTATGTGTTACTGATTGCCTGCTAAACTTGCTAATATCGGAGCGACACTGGTTCTCGATTCTGACGATACCTAAGTATCTTGCCCAGTATTGGAGCTTTCTTCCCACGCCGAAAAACGCGAGGTTCGAGGATGAAAGGATCACCATGCTGTTCTCGGTAACAGCACCCTCGTCAACCGAGTCAACTGTGATTGGATCGCAGCAGCAGAGCCTGCTCCAACGGCTTGCGCCAACAGCGGTTCCTTTATCCATGTCTTTTGCTGCACGCCCACCCCCTCTGTTTGGTGCGTTGGTTGGTAAGGCTTGTTTCCCCCCCTCCTCTCATTCTTTCTTCTCTCTTTCTTCATCAGTCCTTGCGAAACGAAGCCAAACTTAGTTTCAGTAAACAGGTCTCAGTCGCCTGTTTTTGTGAAAGATGGTTAACACGCCAGAGGCCCAGCCGGCTTCGCCTCCTGTCGCGACCTCACCCCCGGCGCCGGCTGCGGAGCCCGCGACAACGGTCTCACCGCGAAGCCCACCGGGCAGCTCAACACCGACGACCAACGCTCCCGCTGCAGTTGCGGAGTCGGATGCATTGGAGGCGGAGGACCCGGTGACTGTTCGTCACCGATTGAGTCTCAAAGTGACCATGTCCGCTGATTATAGGACCTACCTTAGGAAACGGATGACGGCGCTTCCATCGATGACCAAATGTAAGTCTTCCTTGGTCTCCACCGGAGACGTGTTCAGATAGATTGACGTCCGACAGCTCCTCGTACACGGCTTCGCTGGCATCGAGCGCCGTGGACTATCCCATCGAGTTCGGTCGTCGCTACCATGCCTTTCGACCGGGAGGTAAGGAGTCTTATTCGTGCATTAAAAACATATTAGTACTCTAACCATACTCGTTCCTTAGCTTACTTCCTGCCAAATGACGATGTAAGAAAAAGAACGCTTCCCGTGGCGAAAAGGGTGGCAGCTAATGTTTGCAGACTGAGATGGACCGCCTGGATATGTCTCACGACCTTACACTGAGGATGCTGGGATACAAGCTGTACCTGGCGCCGATTGAGAAAGAGAAGGTCAACAGAATCCTTGACATTGGAACTGGTACCGGAATTTGTGAGTCGCTGACGGACTCGGTTTTGTTTCCCGACCCAATTAGGATGACACTAACAAGATCTTAGGGGCCATGGAGATGGGCGATCTCTTTCCCAATGCGGAGGTATACAAAACTCTTGTTGTTGAGCACCTCATAGAAGCTGAACCAGGCATTTTTAGGTTTATGGAAACGATCTGAGTGCTATCCAGCCAGAATGGTGGGTTCCGCCAAAGCAACAGGGGAACCAAACCCATGATTATAAGCTAATGGCCATGTCCATAGGGTTCCTCCGAACGTCAAGTTCGAAATCGACGACGTCGAAAGCGACTGGATCGGTGATCGGAAGTACGACTTCATCTTCTGCCGCTACATGATTGGCTCTCTCGCCGACTACCCAAAACTGATCAAGAACGTCTACGACAACCTCAACCCGGGAGGTTGGGCAGAGTTCTCAGACATGAGCGGCAAGTACTACTCGCCAGACGGCAGTCTCAAGGAAGAGCACGCCACGCACAAATGGAACAACATGCTCATGGATACAATCGCTTCCATGGGCCGCGAGGCACGTCCAGGTCCTCAGCTTGAGGGATGGGTCCGCGAAGCCGCGAATTTCCAAAACATTACGCACAGAAAGTTCATCCTTCCCATCGGCCCTTGGCCAAAGGATCCGCACTACCGGGAGTTGGGGCTGGTCAACTTGACCCAGATTCTGGAAGGACTCGACGGGTTCTCCATGAGGGTGTTTTGTGGCGTGCTGGGCTGGACCAAGGTTGAGGCCGAGGTCCTGCTTGCCCAGGTACGCAAGGAGTTGAAGGCGGTCCACACCTTCCATGCTCAATTTGACATGTAAGTCCGATTAGAAAGTTCAGTCTGTGGATGTTGCAGCTAACAGGGTGCGTAGCCATAATGTGGTGGCTCAGAAGCCTTTTGAGGAAGATTCTTGAAAAAGTCGGCTTGGGAGATTTCTGTTCTATGTGAATTGCTCAGAACAGATCGTCTTATTCCCAATCATGCATTTCCTTGTGATGATGCGCATGAACGTCAATGTAGCTCAAGGAAGTTATCCCAATGTCGATAAGGTAGCTATACCAACACAGTAAGAAAGTACACAGCAGCACTCTTGCTAAATTGAATAATGGCCTTCGAGGCTGTGAGACCGGTGGCTTTGTTTCCGTATGACTTTGAAATTGGAATGAAAAAGGTTCTTGGGTCTGCGGGGGGGACCAAGTGATACACATATTGAGGGAAAGGTATTCCTAAGGCAAAGTGACCTTGGGTGCATAAAGCTCACCTCACCTTTGAATCTTTGCATTCTTATGCAATGGAAAGAAAAACTCTTCAAGGGGTGTGCAACAACACCATTATGGATCAAAGACGGGACTTTTGATCACAGACCACGGATATTCCCACCTTTGCGGACTCCAGAAAGTTCAAAGTAAAGTCACCAGCCACCCAGGTGCCGCTGAAATCACTGATTGAGGCTTGTTGACTAGTTATAAAAGGCACTCATCCTCATCGCTTAAATTTCTTTTCTTTCGCAATCATTGCTCCTATACTTCTCCCGCCATTTGCGCTTGGCAACATCAATTTCTTTAACAACCTACTTGCCTTACCTTCAGAACGACCCGCCTAGAACATAACACTCAACACACTTCACTCGGAACAGCCTTATCATACCAACTGGCTAGTCTCAAATGATGGACGATGCTTCGAAAGACGCCACAAATCAGCCTTCACCCGTGTCCGAAGTCACGCAACTTGCGTACATGCCCGATGTAGTGGTCCTTAACATCGTTGACATGCTGCTCAACGATGGCGACATCCCTGGGTATCTCGAGAGCGATGAAGAACGGTATGATGTCTGTACCGCCGCCAACCCGGAGGGTATGCGCAGCTGGGGAGTGCAGAACGCCACCAACTTGGCAAAAGTTTGCATGCGGTTCTACAACATCGTCAGTCCAGCAGTCTTCAGACACGACATTCAGCATCGTTGCGCATCCTCCTTGCTACTATCGGCCAAAAGAAACAACCTCGACGGTGTTTTAGCCTCACTTCGGCACGGCGCCAACATCAATCAGACTGATCAATCATTGATGCATGTCGAAGAAACCGAAATCATGGAGGAACATCGATTTGAATGCTTGTTATTTCCAGTCAAAACATCCTTGACCGCACTGCATTGGGCTTCATTGTACGGATACAAAGAGCTGGTACATCACCTCCTCAAATTTGGCGCCGATGTCCAACACAGGGCCGACCTGGGCTTTTATCACTACTTCAGCTGCGACCCGTACGAAAACTGCTGGAAGGAGTATGAAACCGACATGGATGACCCTCATCGAGCTTTATTCTGCGCGACGAAGGCAGAATACAAGAAGTCGATAGATCGGAGCTCCGCTCAAAGCCAAAGGGAAACATTACCTTCGCCAATGGGCGCCAATCCGCTGTTCTTCGCCTTGAGAGGCAATTTTGACAGCGAAAACCGCGCGTTGTGGGAGGCAACTTCCACAGAATACTACAGATTCGGTACCGAGCCTTTTGTGGCCGATGACATAAGTGGCTCACGTCTCGACATTGTCAAGGCTTTGATCAAAGCCGGATCATCCCTGGTCACTCGCGAGAAAGACAAAGTCCATGCTCTACATCAAGCCTGTGCCTATGAGGACGTTGATGTGGCTCGCTTCCTCCTAGAAGAAGTAGGAGTCGATCCCAATACCGAGGATTCAAAAGGCGACACTCCTCTTCACTACGTGGCTGCCAGTCAGCAATACCCATGCTATGCCTGCATTGAAAGCAGCTACGAGCCCAGACGACGTACGCAAGAGATTGTGAACCTACTCATCAATAGAGGGGCAAATCTTGATTCCAAGAATCTCGACGGAAGAAAACCCACTGACTGCGGCTTGCTTTCCATTTACAACAACGAGGAAGAAAGAGAGGTGCTTGGTCCATTGGTGTTGTGCGCTTAACCACCTACGCAATGTATCTTGCTGTCGAGCGAGCACCAAACGCAGACAAGACGTCAAATGAATAGAGGCAAATAGAATAAACCTACTTAAACTGAAGCACTTGGTGATTGGGCCCTAATGAAATATTTGTATGTGATCTCACCTACACACATTTCGCAATCCACAAATTCCGATGTCTCTGCAATGATAGAAACAAACACTTTCTTGCTGATTGAGCAAGGGCGCGGCCTGATTCATTACAGCATGAAGTTGGTCGCAAACTAACACCTCAAATAATCATCACGAACTTCTACGATTCCATCGTTGTTGCAGTGCTCATTGAGATACCAAAGGTACGTAAGTAGGCAGACACAGCTGCCATTGGCGAGCTACTACACTAAAGCGTCAACAAAGGACAATGTTAAATGTCGCGTGTTGAAATACTTTGGAGACTATGGATTGCCAGCGACTGAAGTTATGAAGGATGAGAAATCTTTGGAAGCTAGCTTGCACTAGATTGGTGTATGCATTCTCAGTGTTGAAGTAGAACCTAGAACCAGCTTCCGCAAAACTGTCGACTTATTTCACAAAGGGAAGACATAGAATGTCTTGGAACTTTAAGCACACAATGCCTTGATTGCAGGAAATTATATGCAGCTTTCTTTGATGATTGTGTTAGGCAAGCTAGGTGGAGTTAGTAGAAAGACGACATGTCTTGCAAGCAAACCACCTGGCTGAAAGGGCTTTCGTGACCTTCTAGAAGTAGAAGAAATCAGGAAAACACCTTTCCGCCTAAAGTAGATGATCAGGAATCTGGAATCTGAAGACTAATTCTAGGTTATTAAGAGGAGCAATTCTCCCACATTGCTCTCAGACACACCAACTCTTGATGCCAGGAATCTACAAGCTGTCAATCTCATCTGATATTCATACTCAGAAAGCGAGCTCAAATTTTCCACAATCCCTCACACATATCATCTTGATTGACACATTTTCGTGTCTTCTCTCTATCTCATTACATCCATATCTTTCCATCTTATCATCTTGTCATCTCGTCATCAACTTCCCTTGTCGTCCCCTCCATCTGTGCTCTCTCCGCCCTCTATTCAAGGACGAATACGACAAGATGTCCCAGGGGCAGGGTTCAAGCGGCACCGTGCTCGACCCCGACAAGCGCTTTGCTGGCCATGAGAATGCCTTTGCGATTCGCCAACGCCACCTGGCATACCGAACTGCAAGTCTCTTTCTAATGCACACCAATTCGATCAATCCTGAGCATGGAAAGTACACCACATACTCCCATGTAGACGACCTGCCTCGGCTCCAAACATCCCAAGCTCAGACGCCACATGAGGTGAAGTTGACTTGCGACACCTTCATCTACTTGCAGAATCTCACCCCATTGCTCATCAGAGATTCCGAGATCATCTCTTTAACCCCTGTGTGTTCTTTCAACACTACCTTGAAGCCGCGTGAGGATGTAAACCCTTATGTTCGGCCGGATTCGAAGCCTTGGGTTGAAGTGCCTTCCACGCAACCTCATCTCAAGAAAATCTTGATCTCAAGTAATCCAGATTGGGCCAATCATCGGATCCAGACCGCTCACGATAGGACACATTGGCCCTCTTTGGACGTCACCCTCGATCGTGCGACGCCTCTAGTCGACATGCCGAAATGGCTGGGAGGCGAGCTCGGTCCAGCTGCTGCTCTGCAACATCTTCTGCCTAAGGAGCCAACACATCGCGAATGGCGTTCAACATTCACCATCGACGTCCACTGCAGAACTGTGTTTCATCTGCTCGAGCGGCTTCACTTGGCGGCGGCTCGAAAGCTCGATCAATCTGTTGAGGAGTCCATGGTAACGCTGCACGATTACGTCACGTTGACAAGTCTGAACAAAATCAACAAACGATGGGCATTCGGATTTGGAAAGAGGAACTTCGGTAGCATCTTCAAGACGAAGATGGTTGAGATCGATCATGACTTCCTCCGTTTGCCCTTTCATGATACGCACTTGAAACAGAACGTCCTTTCTGCCGGACGCAGGAGAATCGACTCTCCTATGCAGATCAGAACTATGGAGGCAATCTATCAACAGTTATCAGTGTGGAAGCGAGATGGAGTCCCTCTCGACATCGACGCCAAATTCTCGTCTGGCCGGTTCTACTTATTTGAGTGGAAACATAGTGATCTCAACATTCTGCCAGGTTCTACTTTCGGATCATCGGGAAGGACAGCCGGATACGACGAGTTGGGTCGCCTGGAATTCCAGAGAATCTTTTCTTCGCTTTCCTGCGCTTTCGAAACCTACACCAAGAATACCCGGAAATCGTACTCTATGATCAAGTTAATCTTCGCTAAAGAAGGAATACTGCCACCCACCTACCATGACAGAGTACTAGCCCTGAGCAGAGATTTGCGCAATCTCCAGATGGTGCTGCTGCTTCTGGGTCAGGTGAAGCTACATTTCGGGGACATCTTACGATCGCATCTTGTGTGGCTCAGCCAAACAAAGGCCGACGAAACCCAACATGTGTTCAAGGACAAGGAAAGCTTTCGAGACCACGTCGAGCGCGCAGTATCGGGCAAGAAGCCCAAGTTCAAGGCTATCCGAGCGTATCTTGGTGCCGGCGAGGGTGTTACTTTCGGGGAACACCTGACCATCGATCGAAATCAATACAATCGCTGGGTGGCAGAGAGGCAGAAGATGATGGCTCAGTCCAAATCCTCGGCTGATACGAAAGGAAAAGGGCTTCCTTCGACACCTGACCGTGGCTCTCGCAATGCTTCAACGGGTAGCACGTCACAAGCAACGTTGATCGAGCAACAGATGAGCCAGCTTCGCCTCGATGAACACCCATCTGAGAAGTTCAGGGGACCGGATGAACCTGAAGATCCCATCGATCCGGAGACCCTCGCAGTCGAAAGAGAACGGTTCGAAAGCGGCTGGGTGCCGGCGGCGGAATCCTATATCGGCATCGTCTGCCGATATCAGGATGCTTTGAGGACGATCATGGCTGAATTAGGAGCCGACTTTCTGTCTTTCTTCTATGGTGCTCGCTTTGAAGCCGAGGAAGGTCCCGAAATCCTTATGGTCAACGCAGAGCCATGGTATAAAGACTCTAGCGTCCTCAATTTCAAAGAATTCTTCAGCAAGTTCCCGAAGACAAATGGCGATCGTTGGTCAGAGCAAGAGTTGTTGACTATGGAGGACAACATGATGGCTCGCGTCTACGGCCCCAAGAAAAAGGACTGGCCGCCCAAAGATAAGTTGACTTACAACGGAACATGGCACGCAGAGACTATTGTGCTATCTTTGCATCACTTGGCGACGGAATTGTTTGAGCGGATGGACCAGACTCTTGTGCGCGAACCCACGAGATCAGCCCTCTTTGAAAGCCATCTCCTCCCCAAGTTACAGGTGCTCGGAAATTTCCTTAACCTCTCATCTGTTCTAGCTGTCTCGAAGAGATGTTGCCCCAGCTGCAACATGATGGTAGAAGTGACTGAGACCAGCCGCAAGATGCAGATTCTCCGCCCTGGTGATCACTCGGATTGGTTCAGCACCTCTCTACCCCCATGGCTTCCAGAGAAAATCTTTTCCAAGATGGAGGCTCGAATCTTTGAAGAGGTGTCAAGAAGATTGGCAACGCCCTTATCGGAAACCGAACTTCCAAGGTCTGGTAGCAGCGGAGGATCGGGACCGGCGCAAAGTATCCCTGATGCCCCTAGCCGCGATCACATGTTCGACGTCATGGTCTTGAATTGGAGGTCACTAGTCCGGGGGTCTCCAGCTTCATCCGTAGCGCCGTCTTCTCCAAAATTGGGTATAGCTGATGCCCTGGCTAGAGGAGGAGGTGGAGAAGGATGGGGATTCGGATCCAGGGGCTCGACTAACAACAATCGCAACAACAGAGGAAGTGCGGGTTCGCGGGGAGGCGGTAGCTCTCGTGGAATCAGCTTCCGAGGAAGAGGAAGTGGTCCGGGAGGCGTCTCGCGCGGAGGTAGCTCACAAGGAAGCAGCTCACGAGGAGGCGGCAGTGCTCGTGGGAGCGGAAGTGATAGAGGCAGGGGTGGGCCGTCTGGACGTGGAGCTGGCTGGATTCAAGTCGGAAAGCGTGAGCCATCGACGACAGTCCCAAGAGAGTCTGACCCTCCATCCCCGAAGAAGCCCAAGTGGTGATGTACTTAGTGTGAAAGTGAGCGCGGGCGGGTTCAAGAATGGGCGGGAGCGGGTAGAAGGGTTGTTTGATGTCATTTTCTGATGGCTTGGTGCTGCTCAAGAGGTTCGGCCTGTTACCTCGATAGTTGTCCTCGGGTAGGTTTGCCGTTTCCTACCCCAAATGTACGTGATGAATGTCAGGGACCGAAATAGAAAGAAAAAAAAAAGAACAAAAAGGATTCGTTTTTAGAAGGAAGCAATGCAATTCGAGAACGATATCATTTGCACGAGTAGTCGATGATCCCTTTTCAACTTGAGTCACTGACCTTCGCAATATAAAAAGCATAGACTTTATCCAATGATTTAATTAGTGTGTCCTCCAAGAGGTTCTCCGAAGCGCAAGGACATGTGATTAGTGCTGGTAGAAGTCAAGATTAAATCTTTCCTGTCCGGAATTATCAAAGTCGAGGCAACCTTAATCTCGAAATTGGTCTCAACTTCCATTCACAGGGTGGGCGGAAGATAGTCGATTGAAAAGGAGAGCTTCACAAGCGATAAACACCGTGAAATGGGGATAGTGGCTTTCGATGCACATATTCCACAGGCTTTAAATCGCGCAGAAAGTTATTGAATTATTGAACGTAGTGAGAGCATTGACGTAGATATTCTGTGAGAATTGCTAAACCTGAATCAGTAGAATCTGAAGCAGCACGCCGGTTTTTCAGGTTCTCTGAAAGCCACACCATGGAGCTTCAAGGCACTAAAAGGATGCGTCATCTCTATGCTCTTAGCCTAGTGCATCCTCGAATCCAATATTGGGACTGCAAGAAGACACCGCTGCAGACTGAGTGCCACGGATTTGTTGGATCGATAACAACGAGGTCGAATCTCCTCAAGAGCTAGAAAGAAAAATTATCAGCATGCGGCTTCGTAGCTATTGGGTACGAAAGATACAGGATCTGAATGACTTACCTCCACGAAGACCTTGTTCAGCTCCATCAAAGCCACGTTTCGCCCCAAGCACTGCCAGCGACCATAGCCAAAGACAAGCTCTAGAGTACCCTCCATCAAGCGCAGCCTTTCAACGTCGGATTCTAGCCATCGTTCTGGCCGGAAAACGTGGGAGTCTTGACCCCAGATATCCTGCCTGCGAAAGATTCCCCATGCACAATATCCGATACGGGTGCCTTCTGGAAGATGAATACCCTTGAAGTCATCGCCAACTCCTCCATTCGAGACTTCCTTCGACATTTGGCCGACTACTGGTGGAAATATACGAAGACCCTCCTTGATGACGGCTTGCAAGTATGGCATCTCGCGAGCCTCTGCATCGGAGACGATGGGCCAAGACAGCTTGGCAGCGTCGATTTCGGCTCGGAGTGTAGCAGTTACTTGGGGATTTGTGATTATGTGAAGAATGGTAGCCCGAATGGCGGTCGCGGTAGTATCAGAACCAGCTAGTCTTTTCAATATTAGTGCATTTACCACGGTACGGTCGCCGCCTGAGTGTTCGATCTTACAACTGCATAAGAATCTCCGACTCAGCCTCAGCTTGTGTGAGCCCTCGCGCGACGAACGATCCAAGCATATCTTTTTGGACCTTCTTGTTTGGACCGAAACGCTCTGATGCAACTTTCTTGGCAATGCTAGACCCGGCGAAGAATTCCAAATGTGAGCAGAGGCGACGCGTAAAAGTGGCTGCATGGGCAGCAAGTTTTGCGGAAGAGCATGTAACTTGAACTTACCCCATCGTCTTTCCCACGCCGATTGCATCTTTTTCGGAAGGCATCATGCTTCTGAAAATAGGCGAAGAGAGGAGTGCAAGAAGCCATGGCAGAACACTCGTCACGAGAATTGTTGGCATGTTTTGCTCCATAGTCTTGATGTACTCATGGACATCCGAATCAGTTGCCAAGTCTCCAAACGGCTCACCGAAAGCCAGGTCAGAAATGACATCGAGGGTGAAGTATTGCGCCTTGGCTCCAAAGTCAAAAGCTTCGTCGCGAGAAGCATACTTCTCAATCAAACCGATGAGTCGGAGGACGTTTTGATCAATTTTGGCTTCGAGATCTTCGACTTCCTTACCAGAGTACTATCTATCGTCTTAGTTCACTGTGCCTTTCTCTTGTACATCGAGCATTTATGCAATTGCTTACACCTGCGGCCATTTTTGACCGGAGTTTATTATGCAGCTCATCATCTCGGGTGGATAAGACATTGTCTTGGCCAGGCTTGAGTCGCATTCCATCATACCAATTAGATCGCTTGTAAGTCGTCCGCACATTAAGCATACGCTTCATGAGATCCGGATCGCTGGTGATGAGATCATTCGGCCCGACACGAACTATTGACCCTATTTGGCAAAGATGGAAAACGGTTATTTTTCACAAGCGCTTTAGCGCAGGCTAAGGGGTTGAAGTATAAAACACACCATATTTCTCGCACGCCTCATAAAAGTCGAGGTGTGTCCTACCGCCGCCGACGGCGCGAACGAGCCACCATTTCGAAAATCCGGCGCTCGGTGGCCCCTTGATGTGCCGGAGCCGTAAGTATTGGCGAGCGATGGATACGACGCTGTACGCGATGAAGGCCGAGACTGCGATGCTGGCGTATGCGAGGTATTCCCGACTCATGGTCGCACTCGAGCCCACGAGGAACCGATTCGTGTATGAAAAGGTTGGATCATGGGATTGTGAGTGTGGATAAGAGGAGGAAACAGTGTCTCGGGCCACACATGGGAAGGGGAAAAAAGAAAGTCTGAGAGATCCTGAGACGAACTGCCTTCTCGGTCAAGGATGCCGCGGCACGGTGGAGGGCACGGGGAGCCTGGGAGGAGCTGGGGAATATTTTGACCGAGAGACTGCACCGATACGACGGTCAAATCCTTCAATGGCCCTGGAATAGCATGCAATAGCAGCGAACATGACGCCGAAATGTTACCAAAGTTTCTGACGAGTTGACGACCCATGGCGATATCATTGTCGGTTCGGGGTCTCTGCCCAATAGTGTCTACACTTGCGACGGGTCTGGACCCCCTAGTCTTTAGGCGGCTTAGATGATTGACACGGCAGACTCGGGAATGCAACCTTCCCGCACGGAGCAGGGGCCGGCGTGACGGGGTTTCGATCCAATGAGATTGTTGCCGTGTTTTGCAATGCCCTGCTATCCCTCTCCTCCTCCTCCTCAATCGCATCGGCAATGACCAATGCCAACGGATGCGTCTAGCGGGGGTATGATGCAACGTTTAACGGGCACGGCTTTGCCCGGGGGGCATTGCCAGAAGGAGGAGAAAGAATGCAGAGAGGGGGCAAGCGGTGAGGTCGCATCTCCTGATCTGCACCGTTAGATGCCATCTGCTGGTTCATTACGAGAGGCACAGCCCAACCGTCCAATTAGACTCTGCCTAATCTTCGATCTGGCGGTTAAGGAAGCTTGTGGCTTTTGTTTTTCTGGAGATTCTTCTGCCCTTCACATTTTTTTCGCGTTTCACAACTTTTCTTCAATTGCACATGTTGGCTTGGTCGCCGTTGAATTTTGAATTGACACCCCATTAAAAGGGTCTCATCGTTCGGTTCCTTCTTGAGCCTCGACCCTCCGAGGCTCCGACAGATTTAATCATGGCGGATCCAGCACCGGCGGAAGCCGGCCCGCTCGAAGCAGACGTCAGTTCGACGACCTTTCAACATATCTGCTTGCACTCGACAGACCTTGATGCTGATTCTTTTCGATAGAATGGAGAGGAGAACGACAATACCAATGATGACAGCGACTCAGCCATGGGAGTGGTGAGTAGTGGTACCTCGGTCTAGCGGTGCAATGTTACGCGTAAAGCTAATCCGTGTTGCAGTCTGTGCTCGGGTCATCTGCATCCATGACAAGCAGTATCATGCGTTACCGCGAAGAAAATGGAAGAACATACCACGCATATCGAGAGGGCAGTAAGTGATTCAAAGCTCTTCAGCTTGATAGCATCTCACATGTGCTATCGTACTGACCATAGCTTTTGCTTAGGATATGTTTTGCCGAATGACGCGGTAGGTGGTCTTTAGCAGCTTAACCGCCCTTCTCCAACCTCAACTTGGAACTAACGCGTCGCCTATCTGGAATCGCAGGTCGAAAACGACAGGCTTGGTAAGTGACATAGTATTTGTTCTCTCATCAAAGGGATGCTCATGCCTGCGTAATAGATCTTCAACATCATTTATACACACTTACCTTTGATGGAAAGCTGTTTGTATCGCCGGCTGGCCGAGACAAGCCTTTAAAAAGAGTACTAGATGCTGGAACCGGAACCGGAATTTGGGCAATGGACTTTGGTAAGATAGCTGTATCCGCGAAGTTAATAACTCAAGATACCTTAGCTAATGCCCTATCCCTGGCAGCCGACGATCATCAAGAGACACTAGTAAGCTCGCCCAGAGCCCAATCATTCCTTGTCAGGCAATATCTAAAGACTGGCAGATAACCGGTGTCGATCTCAGCCCAATACAACCGCCATTGTAAGTACCATCAGGATAACGATCCTGCAAATCAAGGATTTTGGATGCGTTGATTTACTAATCAATGTTCAGTGTACCTCCCAACGTGACATTCTACATCGACGACCTAGAAGATGACTGGACATACTCCTACAAGTTCGACTTCGTCTTTGGCCGAATGCTCACAGGTTCCATAGCAGACTGGCCAAGGTTTATCCGCCAAAGCTATGAGTAAGTTCTTACTCGCTGCACCCGGGCTTTAACACTGAATATATACGCCTCCGCGGCTCCGCCTTCTTGTCTGACGGTATATCATAGATACCTCGAACCCGGAGGCTGGATAGAGTTGTCCGACATCCTCTTGGATCTTCAAAGCGACGACGGAACAGTTAGCCCCGAATGCGCAACCCAAAAGTGGGCAATGCACATGCTTGAAGCGGCAGCGATATGGAAACGACCACTCGACAGCTGCAAATTCTACAAGGAGCAGCTCGCCGAAGCGGGGTTCACCAATATTGAGGAAAAGATTTACAAGTGGCCGTCGAACCCCTGGCCAAAGGATCCAAAATACAAAGAGCTAGGTAAAACGGCTTTCTGTTCAGCTCTTACCCGTGACATAGGACCAAAACGCTGACTGAATCGCTTTCCGAAGGCGTGTGGACGTACGAAAACCTAGGAAATGGCTTGTCGGGGCTTAGCTTGGCGCTTTTTACTAGGGCGCTGGGTTGGTCGGCGGAGCAGCTTGAGGTGTTCCTGGTGGATGCTAGGAAAGACATGAGAGACAGGTCTATACATGGATGGTGGCCAGTGTGAGCAACTACCTTTTCCCTTGTTACGAGATCGAAGTCCAGCTGACAGTATCTCAGATATGTGGTTTACGCACAAAAGCCGGAATGAAGTCAAAAGCAACCGAGTTGAGAACGCATCGAATGGAACGACAGTACACACGCACGACGAATATAGTTAATCCGCGCCGGCACGCAGGCATGGTATTCTGTGCTTGAACCCAGCAAGTCTTCAAAAGATTTACCTAATCAATCCAATGACCTGGATTATTATCTGAAAAAGAGACTGCAATTAAAGCTCCCTCATTATTGTTCAGAGTGAGGCGATACTATACTTTTTCTTGATGATATCCGCAATCTGCACTGAAGTTAGTAATCGCGTACTTAAGCGCTTCAGATGCCCTTCTTACCTTTTCTCCAGAGGCATAAGTCGTTGCCGTCGGCGCTGCAGTCAACACCATGGGCCAATAACTAACATCAATAACCCTCAACCCCTTAACCCCATAAACCTGCATCTCCGTATCCACCACACCTCCTTCTTCCTTGGGTACCATAGCCGCAGTACAACACGAATGGGCGTTCGAAGGTGACATGTTCGCAGCCAGCAACGTCTTCATCTCTTCTTTGGAAGCGGTATCATACGGTGCCGCCATCTTGGGCCCAAGAATCTTCATCGCCGGCGCAGACATGATCTCCTTCCCCTTCTCAAACAGCGCCACAGCGAGGTCGAAGTCAGTGGGATCAGAAGCAGTGCGAAAGTCAATGACGGGTTGCTGCAGCGGGTCCGTGGAGTTAATCTTCACCGACCCCCGGCTCAGCGCCCGGAGGAAGTAGAGCGTGATACTATTGCCGGTGCCCCAGTGGACCATGCCGAGGGGCACGTCTTGTCCTGCGAGCTGGTCGAGAACGATTTCCCGCTGCTTCTTGTAGCCTTCTTGAACGGATGCAGGGGTACCTGGAGCAAGATACTCGGTGGGGTCGTGGGACTTTGCAGTGGCGAGGATGTCGCGCCAGGAGGAGGTTGTGTTGGCTAGCGGCGGTACGGCTAGGTTTGTGCTCAGGGTTCTGACGATGGTGTACGCTCCCTGCTTTTCGGCGTCGTAAAGGGCGCGTTGTTCAGCGTCGTATGTTTTGTTGGTGTCTAGAGCTCCAGAGTTGGGGAAAACATTGTTTTCAACTGTGTTGTTCCCTTCAGTCACTATACTTTTGCTCTCGAATTGAAATGGTACCAACATGTGAAGGGAACCTTTAGTTCACCCTGATCCATAAAGTTCTCGCCAACCCCAGGCAGATCTGCAATGGTATCGATTCCAAAGCTCTTCAAGAATTTCTTTGACCCAATACCAGAAAGCTGTAGAATCTGTGGTGTATGGAGCGCCCCAGCTGCCAGCAGGACCTCCTTCTTTACGTAGACCTCGAGGGGCTCACCACCAGTTGAAGGTAGATACTCGAGACCAACGGCCCTCCTTCCCTTGAATAGGATCTTGGATACAGTGTGTCCAGCCAAGATGTGGTAGTTGGGACGAGAGTCTTTGACGCGTTGGTAATGATTGATCCGCGCGTGGCTCCGGGTCCGGGTTGTTGCGTCGGCGAGGGTGGGGAAGTTGAAGAGACCGACAGCCCGGTCGCCGCCATTGGGGTCCGGGGAAGGGGTGAGGCCGCTTTGTAGAGCAGCTTGCCAGAAGTTTTCTACGTGATTTTAGTGGAAATCACATGTCGGAACCCTACTCCTTTCTGTATTGAGATACATACCAGCACCGGGGAAATAATAATTGGGATACGAGGCACGGACAGGTCCGGTGTGGCCGTGAGCCGACTCTACCCACGAGATGTTGGCAGCGTCAGCAAAGTCTTGAGGCGGGGTCGTGAAATTCTCGCTCTAGCAAAGGTGTGATTAGCATTCACAGTTCCATGCTGAATGTACATCCAGATAGAACTCACTTTCCGAAAGTACGGCAACAGGTCATCCCATCCCCAGCCTTTGGCACCCAGCTGCTCCCAAGCCGCATACTCTGACTTCCCACCGCGCACAAAGACCATGCCGTTGACTACAGAACCGCCACCGACTACTCGACCGGCAGGCACTGGGAAAACGCGGTTGTTCAACGCAGGCTGTGGTGCGCTGTTCAAGTTGGGCCAAAGGTATGGCACAGGGAAGAAGGCACCTGGGACGAGGATGCTGTCTTCATCCTTGTCGAAAGGCCCGGTCTCAATGACTAGGACTTTGACTATTTCACATGCATTAGGTGGAGAATTCCCGTCTGAGGTAGATGAACTATGGCACGGTCTCTACTTACTGCTTGGGTCTCCGGTCAGCCGATCGGCAACGGTAAGGCCCGAGACGCCTCCGCCGGCAATGACGAAGTCATAATCAGTCGCGGCAACCGCATCTCGCGAGGCAATTGTGGCGTAGCGAGGGACCTGTAGTGCTAGTGAAGATGAGCTGAACGCCAGCAGTGCCAAAATGGCCTTCATGGGTGTTGTGAGAACACTAGGCATCTGGACTACCAGACTCAGACGAGGTTGAACGGGTTTCTTGAGGAGTTGAGGGGACAACAGCAGAGAGGAGCCGATGAAGAAGGAACGCGCCAAAGACTCTCTTTAAAGACGAGCTTCTCGTCAACGAGAATGGCAACGATCTCGCCATTGTCGCGATGCAGAAGCCCTGTACGTGCATATGCCAGTAAGCTGAAGTCTAAACGATGTTGCATTGGAGTAACTCAAGCCAGGAAAAGTCGCAGGAACGCCAATCGGAATGTGCTGCATGAGCTAGTTTCTAAGAACGATGGGGATGCTTAAGCCTAGAAAAGAGCGTGTTTGCTTTATTCTGTATAGGTAACGAATTGAAGTCGATCCTCAAATGAATATGAAGGGAATGACTGCATACAAGTCGGGTTGTTTCGTGCGGGGAAGGTCTCAAAGTGCGGTATCAATGGAGGCTGGCACAGACGCAAGTAAGCAGTTGCTACGTCAAGTCAGCCTTGGCATAGTCTGCGTGATAAATAAGTGGCGGTTGTGGTTAATTGCAGATGTAACCAGACAGTGTGAGGGTTTATCGTGACTTGGGAAGAATATTAAATTACGACTATATCTTTCTGTGAATGGTATCTCTAACCAGGATCTCTAAATGAAGACTCGACTCATCGTGCCTCGTACAGGGTTTCGGATATCCATAAATCAATTACGTGAACTCACTGCATCAACAGTCTTGGTACATCCAAATTCGATGCTTAGATCTTGCTAGGCAGGCTGTCATTGTTCTCCGCAGGGCGGATCTGGACGTCGTCAACCGCAAGAGTTTGCTGGTCGTTCAACTTGGGGTTCCTCAGGAGGAAGGCGAATGCGATAAGAGGAACCGTCAAGCAGATACCAGTAATGGTAAGCAGACGCTGGACGTGCTGGTACGAGTCGATGATGGCTGCACGCTCGGGGGTTCCAACGGGGTACTCGGCGATGGCAACGAAAGGCTGGGCGTAGGTTACGGTAGCCAGAGAGTCATTGCCAAAGGGTGCAAGATTCTCTTGAAGGACGGAGGGCAAAACCTGAGTCCAAATAGCGCCAGATACTGTGTTACCGAAGGCAGACCCAATGTTATAAGTGGAAAGGTAAAGACCGGTCATGATTGCAAGGTGCTCGTGCTTCAGAGTGGTCTGGAGCGAGGCTTGCGCAGGATAGGGGAACATGCCACCTGCGATACCGAGAAGGACCTGGGCACCGATGACACCGCTTTGTCCGGCGGAGGTAGGAGAACCACGGTAGTGGATCAACAGACCGAAAGCGACCATGAAGAGCATGGTACCGGCGATGATAAAGTATTTGAGGCGGCGGACCTTAAAGACGATGAAGCCCAGGATAAAGCCGGTGATGACACTGCAGAAGGAGTACAGCGACGTAATCCGGGTAGCGGACGCAATGCTGAAGTCGAAAGCAACGATACAGACAGTGTAGAGGTAGTCTCCCTGCATGTACCAAGCCCAGTTGAGACCCAGTGCAATACCGAGAGGGGCCAGGATACCACGGTCGCGCATCAACTTGAAGGGAACGAGAGGGTGCTTGGCCTTCATCTCCCACACAGCGAAGACCGGGATGCAAAGGATACCGATGACGAGGGGGGCAATGACGTGAGCCTCGCGCCACGTTGTCGAGAAGCCACCGGCAATGGTGAGAGGAACCAAAATTAGGGCGAAGATGGCGATAACCAGGATGATACCGATGACATCGAGCTGCCAGAACAGTTCAATGAGGAACTTCTTGGGGCCGAGCATGCGGAAAGGAGACGAGTAAGAGTCGAGCAGTCCCTGCTTTTTAGCGCGGCGGCCGACAATGGACAGGCTGATGATGAGGGGGAGGGCACAGACAGGGTAGATGATACACCACATGCCGATACCCCACTGCCAGGTGCTTTCGCCGAGAACCAGGGCGGAGATGTTACCGCTGACCCAGGTGTTGATGATGAAAGGAAGCGCAGGAATGTAACTGAACAGCAGACGGGCGCGGGTGGAGGTAATATCGGCGATGATGACCTCGACAAGCAGCATGATCATGGTGTAGCCAACCTGGTAGATAACGGCGCCGGCGGCGAAGGCCTTAACCTCAGTAGCGCATGCCTCGACAATGGTACCAACGACGTAGAAGATGACGGAGACGCAGATGAGCTCGACACGACCAAAGACATCGGCAATCTTGGCGGATGTGGGTTGGGCAGCAGCGGCGATGACGGAACGAAGGACGTTAACGGTAGCCAGAAGGGAGTGCGTAGCGTAGCTGCTCGTGGCGGTGGGTTGGTAGGCGTAGCGAAGGGTTCCATCGAGACCATAGGCATAGGCGACTAGGAAGACGCCGAAGAAGATGAAGTAGCGGTCGGTAGTGGTGATGGCGGCAGAGAGGGCCTCGATTCTCGCAACACCAGGCGACTTCTCGCCGTAGATGTTGTTGGACTCATACGTGGGAGGAGGAGGGCTGTTTTGGGATAGAGGAGCATTCTTCTCTGCGGAGGTGAGATCGGCTGTGGGCGAGACGATATCCGAAGGAGACTCAGTCTCCTTCTTACGATCAAAGAGACCCATCTTGAGTGACTACGATACCCAGATGAGATGGATGATGAGAGGGCCT